ACGCACGCACGCACGCACGCACGCACGCACGCACGCACGCACGCACGCACGCACGAACGCACGCACGCACGCACGCACGCACGCACGCACGCACGCACGCACGCACGCACGCACGCACGCACGCACGCACGCACGCACGCACGCACGCACGCACGCACGCACGCACGCACGCACGCACGCACGCACGCACGCACGCAAGCACGCACGCACGCACGCACGCACGCACGCACGCACGCACGCACGCACGCACGCCACGCACGCACGCACGACGCACGCACGCACGCACGCAAGCACGCACGCCACGAGCACGCGCCGCGACGCGCCACGCGCAAGAGCACGCGCACGAGCACGCGCACGCGCACAGCGCAGCGCACGCGCACGCGACGCGCCACGCGCACGCGAACGCGCACGCGCACGCGCACGAGGCACGGCAGCGCAAGCGCACGCGCACGCGCACGCGCACGCGCACACACGCACGCGCACGCGCACGCGCACGCGCACACGCGCACGCGCACACGCGCCACGCGCACACGCACGCGCACACGCACGCACACGCACGCGCGCGCACATGCACGCGCACACGCACACGCACGCGCGTGCGCACGCACGCACGCACGCACGCACGCACAGAGAGAGAGAGAGAGAGAGAGAGAGAGAGAGAGAGAGAGAGAGAGAGAGAGAGAGAGAGAGAGAGAGAGAGAGAGAGAGAGAGAGAGAGAGACAGAGAGAGAGAGAGACACCCACCCTCACACCCATTCCGCCTAGCTTAGCACCCCTGACCTGGTCTGTCAAATCAAAGCCGGGTGCTGTGACGAGAACTCTGCTTGGGATCAGCTGCACGAAGGTTCGCCCCCTTTTAAGAGTGTACAGTTGAATACCAGGCCTATAGAAGATGAGCTGGAGCGCTCCAATTCCCTCCCCAGCGGAGCAGAAGAAAAGCCAGAAAGCGATAAAGAGCCGCATGCCGTAGGCACGAAAACAGACCTAAGCAAGCTTTCACGAGACTTTCCCTCAGATCGAAAATCCGAAGAGTCGAATCAGGACTGGCGCAACTTGCGATGCAGCATCCACGGGGATGCGGAGACTCACTTTTGAAGGACATCCCTGCACACTTGGCACAAGCACTTTTTCCAACCTGCTTGGCGAGCCCGCGCTGCTCGTAACACGTAGCAAACTTCGGCCTGCCCGGTACAAAGTACAGGCAACAATGCAATTCAGAAGCCACAATACGGCACTTCTGGCCCATCAGCCTCCCTGCCCAAGCCCCCTCTCGACTTCCCCCTGCCATCTATCCTGGAGGGAGGGCGAGCGGATCCATGCAAGGGCTCTCCAAAGTCACCACTCAACTTCCCTGCGTCTGCACCGACAGATCAGCTGATGCAAGAGTGCACATGTGCGAGCGTTCGCTTCATGCACTTGCTGAGCGGCTGCATGCGAAAGCGTACAGCGCAGAGAGACAGCACAGATGGCACAGATCTCTTGGGAACACGGTACATCACCTCGCCGCGCGCGACGGCTGTGCAAGGCTCAGACTTTGCTCTCTTCTACACCAGAAAACCACGTGCTGCGATCAAAGTCGCCCTTGCTTCTTGCAGCAGGGCAGTTCTCTGGGTCACATCCGGCACAAAATCCAAGAGCGCCTGGCCTGCCGAGTTTGCTGAGCTTTGGCCATGGTAGCATTGGTCCAGAGCAAGACAGAGCAGGAGCTCATGGCAATGCCCCAGCAAGCTCCACGCCGACAAGGCCACATCAGTCTGCAGACTCCAGCGCAGGCAACTCGCCAACGTCGCGGAAGCCATCGGGTCGAAAGCACTGCCACTGCAAAGAACTTGTCCCTGGAGCAGCACGGGCTGCAGCAAGCGCGTCAAGACTCTCATGGAGGGGACGCCGAAACGCTTGTGGCCGCCCAGGGCGCCGGTGTTGGGTGAGCAGTCTGCATGACAAGCTTGGCTGCTGACGTGGGCTTGGCCACGTTCAGTGGGATCTGCACACGTTTCAGAACATTCGCATCTGTTGCAAACACCTGTAACTGTAGCCACTCGCCCGGCCCCGCTCCTTGCACGTGCACCGCAAATGCAAAAAGGACAAACCCGAAGTCGATATCCAGCACAGATCCACGCATGGGCTTTCCAAAGTCCAAAAGCAAAGTGACGTCACCCGCCTCGCCCATCTTCGAGACCCAGTACGTGGACCCCCCGCCATTAAAGGCATGGCCGCCCCTGAGATCCAACGTCGAGCTTGCCGAGGTTGACGCCGCTGCTGCTGCTGCGGACCCTCCGAAATAGCTCACACACGTGTTGCTCTGCGCCACTTTGACTCCCACTTGGACACGCCGCCTGCCACGTCACACTGCACCAGCTCCACGGGCGCATCAGCACCAAGCACGCCTTGAGTAGGGCTGAAGGGCACCTCATTCAAGCTACACACTGCGTGGAGTGTGTGGAAGGACGAAGACACGAAGCATGTGGTCGGAGACTTTGTCGCAGCACCGTCATCAGGTGGTGTCGGGAGTCCCGACCCCGAGCTCGGGACATCAGGATTTCATCCGTGCTGCACCCCCCCCCCCTGCGTTCTCGCGACGGGTCCGCCGAAAACTGAAGAAACATGTGAGAAACCACCATACCTTGAGCCACCCCAGAAGTTTGTCCCTACCTGCCTTCGGACAGGATGGCTACGAGTACCTTTCCTCCAAAGTCCACTAAGGTCCTTACGAATCTGTAGGAAACTGTACAAACGCCCTCCACGACAGTACTTGCCAGTCGCTGTGGATCGGTAGAGTTTGCAGTTATGTGCTTTCCTTGGTGCTGTTCATAGGACAACGTGCATCAAACATTCAACTGTAGGACGTGGCCAAGCAGCAACTCCTATCACAAGACTTCTTTGTCGCTCTTGCGCTGCAAAGAAGGAAAGGCATCCTCCTGAGCATGCGCTGCCATGGGTTAATGCGAAATCGCGCTGTCGTGCCTTTTTTGTCTACCAAAAAATATGGCTCTTCAGCAAAGACTGAAAAGCCCCCCTTTCCGGCAATAATTCTGGTGTCGCGACCCCCCACTGTCGAAACGATTTGGGATGACAATATTCATGGCACACCACCGTACCGAGCCCTCATGCGCATACAAAACATGCACCCTCGGTGGCAAGAACCTCCCCAGATACAATCCTGGCACCCAGCTAACGTTTGTCCCGGGCTCTCTGCCTGTACTGCATGGCTAGATAGTCCGTACTTTCACTACTGAGCGCGTACACGTGAAGAGAACACCATAAACACTATTCATAGCATCATAAGGGAGTTTATGGACGCATGAATACCATTAATAGGGGCTTATAAGTGAACGAAACAATGGACCATGAGGTAGAAACTGCCGCTGGACGCTATAAACCCAGCTCACGGATCGCTTCTAGGGGTGAACTCTCCTTGCCATGGAATCTTCTCCTTCACTGCGTTCTTTCTCTCATTTCCTTCACTCTTTTTCTTCGTTCTCTCATTCGTTCAGTCACTTCGTCTTTTTTATTATTAACTATTCCCGTAAACACATAGAATAATACAAGGATTGAATGATCCCGTCTGTCCCGGCTGTCATGGGGTTACACTTCAAAAAAACGGCTGAGACCTTCCCGACCCGACCTCCTGTCCAGGGCCTCATGAATAGTCTCTAGTCTAGTGTCTTGGATCGGTCGGATTACATTTGAATCGATCTCCCTATGCTGATCACGTGGGTCCATCTCCCGATGCCGCTCCTATGGATCCATCTCCGTACGCCGATCATGGGGACGCATCTCCCTGCGCCGATCATTTCATGAGATTCTTTGAGTTAACCCTTGTGGTCAAGATGCCCTCGCTCTCCCCTTCGAACTTCCAGGTAGGACACAAGCGCGCAAGATATGGAATAGTTGCGAAGTAGCATCGACTGGAATGCAGAGGCCCTATGCCCCAAACAGCTATCAAACCCCAAGATCCGACTCACTTTCGGAAGAAACATCCGCGCGCCCTGCAAGCCCACTTTTTCGAACGCGCGCTGCTCCGGTCGGCACGTAACAAAAGTAACACGTGCCTAGCACGCAGGGTTCGGTCTGCCAAACAGTTTTGGCGCACATTAGAGTATTTAGAGTTTACCTTGCCATTCACGTCATTGCGGCTCCCTGCCGCATGGATGCACTGCGGAGCCGTGCTTGCCTTGCATGCACCGCCCGCGCCCGCCAGCCTCACATGTGTTCTTTGCACATGCAGAGCAGCCAGACACGTGGGGGCAGAGCTCAGGCTGAAGTGCTCAGGCTGAGTCCTCTTGTCGCGCCGCATAGGTGAGGGGACGGCGAACGAGGGAGCCTGACATGTGCCTCCATCTTTCACCCGATCTCGGGGATGTCAGCGAAAGATGGTCATGCCCGCTGCGCCCACAACTCCGCAGCTCCGCAAAGCACGCAGTTCTGCACGCTCCCGGCGCGAGCTCCAGCACGAAACGACATCGAGAGGATGGAGGCGGGCGCGGGCAGCAGGTGAAACACGACGGACATGGCTCGCACGGCAAAGAACTTCACGAGCTTTGTGCTTGCCTAGGTACAACTGCAGAGAGCCGTCCTCCGCAAGGCTCACAGCCACCCAGATCTCCCAGGCTCCGTCTCCTCGCTCTTTTGTGGCCTTCTTGGCCGCGATGAGACACAGCAGAGGTAGGGTGAACACGGGGCTCTGCAGGTGACTCCATGGATTCCTGCCTGCTGGACTTTCATGGGCATCACAGCTTGCAGGTCCTTTTGCCCGGGCTGCTTGCCTCGACCAGAAGGGAATCAAACCGAGCCGCCCCATCGGCCCCGAGTCTGCGTCCTGTGGCTGCCTGGAGCCCATCGTATGTGCTTGTACTCCTTGTCGCTACTTGCGAATTAGCTGCACTGATGCACATGCCCGGGTGCTCCCCTGCAGGAGCCAGTGGCAGTGATAACGGCCCGGCACCGTGCATCTGCAGCTGCTGGCATTCTTCTTTTGGCTGAAGCTTGACACAATCGAGGCGGCCATACACAGAAGCGACGCCATCGAAGCACCGCCAGCGTGCTTGCGAGTTCTGTTCCTGGATTTACGGGCATTTCACAAGCTGGTCGCTCTGTGGGAAAGCTTCTCTGCACTCACCCATTGCCTACCGGGCCTACCGCCTCCTGCTGCGCAGGTGCTGCGCAAAGCCTGGTCGTGCAAACCTGACCAGCTTAATCGCCAATGCGTTTCTGCACAGACGTTTGCCAGCAGAAGCCGGCAGGAGGCGGCACAATTCTACAGCGATGAGGCGAACGTCGCAGCATCAAGCAATGCTTCGAAACACATGATGCTCGCCGGCAGCGGGCAGTGGGATGACACTAGCTTGCACTTGAAGGTCTGTGCGTATGTGAAGTCAGCGGCAGAAGTTGCAGCAACCAGGCCGACATCAGAACAAGCACCCCTTCCCAACATTCACGCCATGCCACTCTCTAGCTTTCCGAAAGGTAAGCACGCACAGGCTTTGAGCTTTAAGTTGCTTGCTCGTGAAAGCACGCATCATGCTCTTCACGCGCTTCCCTAGGTCCGCTGCTTCTTCACGCGCGGCAACTTGGGGCCGCTGCTCATTGCCAACGACGAGCTGGCGTTCAGTGTCACGCACGCCTTAAGAAGGGCAAAAAGGGTACCTCCTTCAAGCTTGAGTGTGTGGAAGGATGTGTGGAAGGACGAGGACACGAAGAACACGAAGAAGCGGAGAGCACATGGTTCGAGGCTTTGTCGCAGCACCGGCATCAGGCAGTCCGGACTGACTGACAGAGTACACGAAGCTACACCGTGCAATGACGAGGCCGGCGTCAAGCAAACTGCCAGGCAAAGCTACCTGTCCTGGACTGCCTGATTCAAGACTGTCTCGCGTCCGTCCAAAACGCAGAGGACAAAACGTTTGGGAAAGCCAAGTTCGGCCATGCTTTGAGGGGCCGTCTGGCTTCACGCCCCAGCCACGCGCAATGGTGCAGATCATGCTCTCTTCTTGCACTTGCCTATAGGTCCGCTTCCTGCTCGATTCGAGGGGTTGGCCAAGCAACAGCATAGTCATCGGCGGATCTAGCGATCACCGGCAGGATGCGCAATGCTACACTGAGGCAGCCGACGTCAAGCAAAGTGCCACGAAATGCAACTTGTGCTGGACTGGACGGCTGAACACCTTTGCAGCTGCCACAGCTCGTCTTTCCTCGGAACGTTACGGCATACCTCGCGCTGTGTTCCGAAATCGTTCTCACTTCACACATCCATGCTTGACCCTCATGCCACACATGCCGTCAGTGCCTGAAAAAGCGCTCTTGCAAGCACAGCTCTGTGCGCTTCCGAAAAGTTCGGAAGAGGTGGTGCTTCAGCTTCAATGGAATGCGAGGGCCATGTGGGAGCAGCGGGAAAAGCTGCGGAAGTTCACAAGTTCGGAAAAAGTCCGAAGCGCGACAGGCCAGACAAGCTGTCAGCAGCTTTCGTGAAGCCACTTGTGGGCGCGGATGTTCTACAGCCTTAGGGCAGTCTTAGGGTCTTACGAGATTTTTGCAAACTGGTTGGAGTCGGAAGTTCGGAAGCATTGCTCCTGCCTGCTTCCTCCTGCCGCTCCGTGGGAGATTGCGGATGCCGGGCGATCTGCTGCATTGAACGGGCTAGAGGCCCAGGTCATGCAAACTACCAAGCACTGCACCGTGTCCCGCAATGGGTGACCCAGCTTGAGAAGCTGGCAGTCGGCTGCCCACGGCACCCCGCGGCAGCCCACGATGCCCACGGCAACGCGAAGCTATCAGGGAAACCTTGCCGTAGAAGCCCTCCCGGAAACCTGACCAAAACCTGTCCCCAAACCAGCACACAACCCCGCGCTTCTGCGGGACGGAGCTGTAGGAGGTTTTGGGCTGGGCATCGGGCGGCCACGGTGGCACGCGGAAGCGCGGAAGCACACGAAAGTCGAAATCTTCAACTTCAGGCCCCAAGCTCGCGAGAAGCTGGCAGTCTACGCGGCAGGGCCCACAGCCGACATAGCCGACATGCTCGACGAGTGCGACGAGCACGACGAGTGCGACCAGAGCCGAATGGCAGGGTTCACAGCAGGCCGGAGACAAGCAGACTCGGCCGAGCCGAGTTGGCCCACTGCAAGGCTAAACCACGCTCCCTTCAAAGCGGCTCTGGGTGCCGGATAAACCGCCACCCGCACGCCACGCGGCGCAGGGCCACCTTGTCAGCAGACATCAGCGGACAGGAGCGTGGAGGAGCGGAGAGTCTTCTAAACCCTCACAATCTGGGACAGCTCGTCCCCGACTTTTCCGGGCAGCGTGGGGAGTTGAGCAGGCAGGCAGCTGCTGGGATTGCACCGCACAGACGCTCAGCATGCGGAGCCTCCCAGCTCTTCTGGGTTCTTCTCTGGGCCTGGATCGTACACGGCACCCCGAAACACGAAATGTCATGAAAGGCAAGTTGTCGTTGTCGTTGTGGACGCCGCAAAGTAGTCAAGGTTCGACTACCTGTAGCGTGATGACAGCGGCACTTCGTGCCGGCGCCTCTGTTGACACACATCACATGTAGTGCTGTCTGATTCGACACATCCGTCGAACGTCAGCCTATCGAACGGCACGGTTCTTGTGTGGCCGCTGGCGAGGTACTCCTAGAGGAGAGCACAAGGTCCAGCTCCAAGCGGGCAATGTTTACACGCTACTTCGCGGCTCAACTCTCAGGTACCTGTGTCTGAGGAACATAGACAAGAATAGAGCAGATGACATGTGCATGCCGGCTCAGTGCCGCTAAGCTCTGTGTCCTGCACTGACGCTGCGCACTTCCGACCGTCGGAGTCCCAGGTGGCGCTTGGGCCGAACAGCCAGGCCGTGCAGTGCCCCGAACCGGGCATCGCCCCATCATGCAGCCCTGCCGCAAGCATCTTGAAACGACGCCAACACTTTCTAGCCATGATCCTGACAGGAGACAGGTACCCGGAGCATGCGAGTCGTCTCACTCGCCGTGCTAGCGTTCTGGACCCCCTTCCATCATGCCGCGAGACCACTCTGAGAAGCCGATGAGGCAGACGGGGCACAAGCATTCTACAAGCATGTTTTCGAGAGCAAGCACAAGAGTTCTATCTTATGTCCGCATATTCTGGCCCTCCCTCTTTAGCAAGCGCAGTATGCAGCACGAGACTGTCTTGCTCCGCGTAGCAACAAACACAAGACGGGCTCTCACAGCAAGCGGTTTCCCGTTCTCGTTGTCGGGAAGCAACCAGACGCATGGATCGCCGGACCTGGCCCCCATCGCCATCGTTGTTCGCCACTTCTCTGCCCGCTTGGTTTCTGGAGGTGCGTCGTCGACCAAGCTGCTGGTAAAGCTCGTCCGTGTCGTGGCAGGCAGCTGCGACTATGGCCGAACATGCACGGCCCCGCCGCCGCATCAAAGCACATCCACGGATGCCAACCGATGGCAACTTCCACCTGGTCAGCAAGCGCGTCCGCTTGAGCGCCGACGACAAGCGGCATGCAGCACATGTCGTATCGGCTGGGAGCGCGACAACGCAAGGGTTGCCCAGCTTGGTTGAACACTAGCACAAGCTTCTTCAAACGCAGGCCGCTCCGCGGCTTGGACATGTCCTTTATTTCTTGGCTTTGGGACATCATCATGGCGGCCTTTTGTGATGTAGCAGGCGCCTCAAAAGGCAAAACACTTCTCGGACGATGGGCAGCTGCAATAAGGAGGGGAGATGATCAAGGCAGCGGCCACTTAGCAGTGGGTGCTGCAATTTAGGGAAGCGTTTAGGGAAGCGGTATGGGCGGGAGGGGTTATGCGGCATGACCGACCGACCCCCTTGCCTTGGGGTGAGAGTGTAAAGTACAACTTTGTTCTGTCTTGGTCCGCGGCTTGGACAACATGTCCCTAATTTCGTGGCTTTGGGGCATCATCGTGGCGGCCTTTCGTGATATAGCAGACGCCTCAAAAGGCAAAACACTTCTCGGACGATGGGCAGCTGCAATAGGGGGGGGAGATGATCAAGGCAGCGGCCACTTAGCAGGAGCGGCCGGCCAAGTGGGTGCTGCAATGTAGGGGAGCGGTATGGGTGGGAGGGGTTATGCGGCATGACCGACCGACCCCCTTGCCTTGGGGTGCGAGTGTAAAGTACAACTTTGTTCTGTCTTGGTTTTTCACAAATTGGTTTGGCTGTTGCTGTCATGGGGCAGGTGGGTTAGCGTGTTACGTTGCGCCGTAGCTTTTAGATGTTGTTGGCAGGCCCTTCGAGTGGACACCAGGGGCCGCGATGGTCGCCGGCTGCAGCGGAAACCCCCCCAATACCCCAAGACGAAGTACCGTAACACGGGCCCCTTCCTCAACCTACTGACACAAGGACCTTGGTTAAACAGTCCCGAAACGCACAAGGCCCCGAACGCTGATGCTTAACGACGGCCTCACCGGACCCTGCCCAACAAGTTGGCAGGACCGTTTGAGACTGGAAACGGTGTACCGATCCAGCATGAAACCGGTGGCAAGTGCAGCAGGCCGACAAGGTTACGAAATTTGAACTCAGGATGACTTGGTCAGAAGCACAGAAGGCACAGACAGCACAGGGGCACCCAAGCCTCGGGAGGGCGCGTAGAGGCTTTGCACACCTGGACGAATTTAGAAAAAAGGCACACCCCAGCGAGACCCCCGAGCACGATGGCCGGCTGGCCCCAGGCTGCATCCGCTGCCCTCGGCACAAGCGAAGCGGGGCACGGGTCCTTCTTTTGCAAGAGAGTGTGGGTGGAAGTCGCACAACTCGAGCTGTCACGCTATGTCTGGCAGGAATCCGTGCGGTGCCATCCTTGAGGTGAGACCCAGAAAAAAAGCGTACACCAGTCAGACGCCCGAGCCTCAGATCCTCTTCCACATTCCCAAGCAGAAGATCGGGTATGACCGCCGGCTGGCGCCAGGCTGCATCCGCTGCCCTCGGCATAAGCGAAGCCGGGCACCCGTCTTTTTGCAACGAGCTTGGGAAACTTGGTGAAAGAGTGTCGGTCGAAGTCGTGCAACACGTGAAAAAGGAATCGCACTATGTCGGGCAAGAATCGATGCTACTCCGTCAAGCAATAAACAGTAGATTGAGATCTCACAAACTCCATTCGAGCTGCGTTGGCGCAATCCGGCATGGCACAGATCATCACAGCGACTGTGAGAGGCCTTGCACACCCACCCGGACTAAACTAGACAAAGGGTGCGCGCCAGCGAAACCCCGGAGTCTCAGATCCTCCTGCACATCCGAGCGGGACATGCATGACGGCTGCCTGCCTCAAGGCCCTGAAAACGAGTGCAGAAGTGAAGCTGGGTACTTGGTCCCTTGGCACGAACTCGCGGAAAGTGCTGCTCGCGTTGGCTCCGTGTGTCAGGGGGAGCGGCCAGACGACACGATGCTGGCCATGACGGCACAGGGTGCAGCTCTGG